AGAATCCTGAAATCCATGCATATATCCTGCTGAACCGCGTACCTGTTCGACGTCGCTTCCATTGCCTCTCAAAAATCATGCGACAATTACTTCTCTCTCTATCTTTCTAAAGTGAGAAGCTCCGCTAGGGTTCTTTCCTTTCCTTCGCTCTCGCGCTTTTTTCTCCTCCCGCCTCCGTTGGAGGGATCCTATGGATCCCTCCCTCCACCCTTCTTCCTTCCCGCCGCTCACAAACTCTTCTCCTCCAGCTATCACCGGAGCTTCTTTCGCTTTACCGTGGGATTGTGTTTTTGCTATCCCGCCAGCTTCTAAAGAGTTCACCGTCTCCACTATTTCTACTCCTGATGAGCCTATCGACTTCCCGACTTCAGATATTGCTGATGCAGTTGAAGAATTGAACCTAGCCCTAGTTGGATACTCCTTGGGTAAACGCCCTTTCTACGAATCTCTTCTTAATGCTGTTAAGAAGCTTTGGGAACTAAAAGGTAATATCAAGCTTATCTCTCTTAGCGATGGTTTTTTCTTGTTCAAATTCTCCTGCCGTGATGATTTCGAGATGGTTTGGAATAAGGGCGCCTGGTTTATTTTCGGTAAACCTTTCATTTTTCGGAAATGGACTTCTCATTTTTGTCCCAAAAGGGAAGAGTTTACCAGTGTTCCAATATAGTTCAAAATACATGATTTACCTCTTTGTTGTTGGACTCCAGTGGGAATTTCTAAGATTGCAACAAAAATTGGAGCTCCTGTGGCGGTTGACTCCCTAACCGCCTCAAAGTCTAGACTAACATACACTAGAGTCTGTGTCCTGGTAGACTCTTCTGCCACTTACCTTGTTTCTGTCCCGATTATAGTCGAAGGGAAACTGTTCAACTTAGTGATTCAGTATGAATGGAGGCCCTCTATTTGTGATTGTTGTAAGTCCTTTTAATCACTCTTATGATCTTTTCCCATCCAATCCTAACCCTACTGCCATCCTTCCACCTAAACCCCCCCCGGTGGTAGGAGTTCTAGCCGCAGGCCCAGACCTCCCTCAAAAAACCCTACAGGTCTTCTCCCCACTTCGTCTTCTCGTACTTCCCCTTCTCCTGGTAAGCCTCTCTCTAAACCGCTGACTGGCATCCAAGTCACAGAAAGTATTCCTACACCTTTACAAACCTCTGAGAACATCAATAACACATAGCCCATTATATCTATACAAAATCCTGCTACCAACTCTGCCAATCTTTTTCCTCATACTTCAGTCACTAATCCTATAGCCATCCCTAATCTCAATTCTCCCAACATCCCTTCTTCTTCCTCTTCTGACCTACCACCAGAACAACATTCTTCTTCTAAACCTTCTTCACTTTCTATAAAATCCTCAAACCAACAGCAAAATGATAAATCGCCTCAAAAATCTTCTTCACCAAATAAATTCAATCTTCTTAATCTTTTATCTGACTCTGAAGCAACCTCCAATAACACTCTGGAAGAATGTCTCAAAGACAACAATTTGTTGGATTCGGCCAGCTCCTCTCCTCCTCCCAACAAAAAAACTACTTCTCCTAATCTTAAAATTCTTGACCAGCCACACAAAAATACTAGAGGGAAGGGCTCCAAGAAAGGCCCTAAATCCAACAATAAGTCATGACCCTTCCAAACATTGTTGTTTGGAATGTCAGGGGTTTCAACAACCCTGACAAAGTGCTTTGTTGCAAAAAAAATGATTTCGGATCGTGCTCTAGACATGTTTTGCATCCTTGAAAACAGGATTATGGCCTCTAATTTGCAAGACCCATGGTTTTGTAAAACTCACACAATTTTTGAGAATGAGCAGAGCTTGGATAATTTCCATTTGGCTAACCCTGGGCGTATTTGGATAAAATGAAATGTTGACAAGGTTTCTTTTGTTGTTACTAAGATCATTAAGCAAGCTATCACAGGCATTGTCACTCATGGCTCTAATACCTCCTTTATTATTTCTGTGGTTTACGCTTCCAATTCGTTTGATGAACAAAATTCACTTTGGGACGATCTTAGGAGTTGTTGTCCTAATAATGGTATGGCTTGGGCTATTTTAGGCGACTTCAATTGCTGTCGTTACAATTCTGAAAAAAGAGGTGGTACTGATATTAATGACTCAAGGTTGGCTCCCTTCAACTCATTTATCTTTGACTGTAATCTGATTGAACTCCCGTCCTCTGGAAATTTTTTCACTTGGTTCAATCAAAGGGTGAACAATCCCATTCACATCAAGCTGGACCGTATCCTCACCAATGAAGCTTGGCTTTCCTCTTTCCCCAATTCACACTATTTTGTTGGGAATAGCTTGGTATCTGACCACACTCCACTTTTGTTGGGGAATAACAACAAGAAGGCTTGCAAGAAGAGATTTATGTTCAAAAACTGCTGGTGCCATATCCCTGAATTTTGGGAGGTTCTGATTGACACTTTTGCTTCTCCAACTTTTGGCAATCCCATCCATTGCCTATATCAAAAGCTCAAAAATCTAAAGGAGGTTATTAAAGGAAAAAATTGGGAATCATCTAATTCCCTGGAGGTTAAATGCAATGAATTATCATCTCTTCAAGAGCATTATCAACACCTTCTTGATCGGGATCCTCTCAATTCTCATCTTTGTGGAACTCTTAAAAAAATTACATCAGATCTTGCCTTCTATTCCTCTTTGAGAGCTAATTGGATCATTCAGAGAGCCAAGGTAAAATGGCTTAAACATGGTGAAGAGGATCTTAAGTTTCTATACTCCAAGATTAAGTTAAGGACATCTCACAATAGATGTATCATTAATTCTTCGATATGTGGGAATTCTCAAACAACTGATTTTAATGGGATTGTTCATCACTTTCAAAACTTATACAACTCTCCTTCTTCTCCTTTTAATAATCTGGAGTCTATACCGGCTGGTAATATGTTGCCCGATTTTGCTAAGGATTTTCTGGTTATGACTGTTACCAATGAGGAGATTAGGAAAGCTATTAATTATGGTTGTTCTTCGTCTGCACCGGGGCCGGACGGGTATAATACAAAATTTTTCAAAAGAACTTGGCACATCACTGGAATTTCTATTTGTCACGCGGTGAAGTCTTTCTTTAATAAGTGCTATCTTCCTGATAAGGCTAAAGCCACTGCTATTGCACTTATTCCCAAGAAAACTCATGCTGATTCCATTCAAGACTTCAGACCTATTTCTTTTTGTAATGTTTTTCATAAAATAATTGCCAAGATTCTTGCTTCTAGGCTTAAGCCTTTTATGCCTGAAATCATACATCACAGCCAAGCTGCTTTCATTGCAAATAGGATCTCTTCTGAGAACTCCATCCTAGCTGCTGAAATTCTCGGTTTTATCTCTAAGACCCATAAGGAAAGATTTTTCTGTGCAAAATTTGATATCAGGAAAGTCTTCGATACGGTGTCTAGGGAATTCCTTTTTGCTAGGCTAGCTCAAAAGGGGATTCCTTCACTTTTCATTCAGTGGATAAAAGCTTGCATTAATGACATTAAGTTCTCCATTTGCATTAATGGAGGTCTTGAAGGTTTTTTTAACTCATCTTCCGGTATTAGGCAAGGTTGCCCTTTGAGCCCGTTCTTGTTCTGTTTTGTTATGGATGCTCTCTCTTGTCTTATTGAAGATAACAATCAACTGAACAAGTTTGAAGGTTTTCATTACGGAGATTTTCACCTGTCTCATTTGTCCTAGGGGTGTCAATTCGGGTCGACGGGTCGGGTTCGGGTCGAACCCGATTTGACCCGGGCATAAACGGGTCAACCTGAATCCGACCCATTTAGGTAAATGGGTCAAAAAATTAAACCCGGACCCAACCCGCAAACCCCTTTGGGGGTGCCAGAGATGATGCAGTCGTCGTTCGGCGGGACATTGACGACATCCGATGTCCGGTGCGTGTGCGGACCGCGAAGTCGCCGTTCGGCGTTCGCAAACAAGGCTTCGCATGAATCATAGCCTCGCGGACAAGGCGTCACGGCCTCGTCGGCGTCGTCGCAGCCTTGCTTTTTTTATTTATTTTTTAAATGATCGCAGGCTCGCAGGCTTGACATGGTAGAAAGGAGAGGGAGCTGTGAGGACCGTGAGGCGTGAGGTCCAATCCCTCTGAGCCTCTGAGGTGAGGGAGAGCCGCATATGTCACATCAAATTGTTTTCTTTTTTTTTTGGAACTGTCAGAACAATTGAGCCATTGAGGAAGCCAGCAAGAGGCCAAGAGCAAGGTGAGGTGACCTCCCTCGGGTCCTGAGCCTTAATTTTTTTTTTATTTTTTTAGGAATAGCGGGAGCTTTAAATTTTAATTTTGGGAAGGTTGCACACTTACACCTGAGTCAACCGGGTCAATTCCGGGTTACCGGGTTGACCCGGACCCGACCCGTTTATGAAACGGGTTGAAAGTTAAGACCCGAACCCGACCCGTTTGTTAAACGGGTCGACCCGAACCAGGATTTTTCGGGTCGGGTTTGGGTCGGGTTGTCAGGTCGGGTCAATTATTGACACCCCTAATTTGTCCTATGCCGATGACTTGCTTGTTTTTGGGAAGGCTGAAATCACTAACTGTGATAATCTTATGAACATTCTGAACCTTTTTTCATGTCTCTCAGGCCTCAATCTTAACCTCCACAAAAGCTCTCTCCTTTTTCCTCCTCCAGCCAACATCTCTTCCTCAATTTCTCAAGCTCTCCACATTCACACTTGCTCTACTACCATCCCTTACTTGGGTATTCTCATTGCTTTGGGGAGAACCAAGCTTTCTGACTTCTACCCTCTCCTTGATAAATTTACTAATCTGCTTTTCGGTTGGAAAGCTAAGCTTCTTTCTTTTGCAGGTAGACTTCAATTCATCAAATATACTATCACCAACCTTATGGCTTATTGGATTAGAGGATAGATTATTCCTAAAACTATTTTGAAGCATATTGACAAGGTTTGCTCTAAATTTCTTTATCATAGTGGTGATCCTTCTAAGAGATTGCATCTTATATCTTGGAGAAATACTTCCATGCCTTTTTCCAAAGGTGGACTTGGCATTGCTTCCTTTCATGCTCTAAGGTCTGCCTTCAATTGTGATACTATTCTCAGGATCTATAATCTTGACTCGCAACTTTTCAGATGGTTCAAAATTAGGTACTCCTCCCCTTGGAAGCCAACTCCTCGTCACAGCACTGCTTTTTGGAAAAGTTTGCAAATTACGGCTAATCTGTTTAAAAGCAACTTTAAGTTTCATGTTATTGCAAATAGCTCCATTGCTATACTTTGGGACAATTGGAGTTCCAACGGCTCTTTACTGGATTCCTTTCCACATTTTGATTACACTTCTGTCATTCAGGATTCTACTATTCTGGCTAAATGGATGGATGGGTACTCTTGGTCTCTTCGAACTCCTCTCACCTCTCAGATGGCTGATTTTATTACCTCCACACCTATTGCCAATAGCGGCAGCAGACACCTTACTTGGGAGAATAATGAAAATGCTACCTTCAAGGATTTCTATAAAGAATATTTTGCTTTTGAAAATGATGTGGATTGGGCTTTTTGGGTTTGGCACAAAAAACACTCTCTTAGACACTCTGTTTACTCCTGGATGGCTCTCTCTAATGGTCTCAAAACTTTAGCTGCATTGAGTGCTAGAAATATTGTAATTAGGGATGTTAGCTGCCCCCTTTGCCATCTCCACCCTGAAACCACTGCTCACCTATTGTTAGAATGTGACTATTCTTTTCAGGTTATATGTAAGCTTATCCCTCAATTTACAAGTTTTCTCTTTAGACCTAACCTTGCTCAAGCTTTTCAGTTTATTTCTGGGATTGATTCTACTAAGAAGGTTAAGCTTGGGCTATTATTGATCCTTAACGTTACTGAGTATTTCATTTGGATTGAGAGGAACTCAAGGAAGTATAATGGGAGGATTTCTTGTGCTATTACGTTGGCTAAGAAAATCTCTAGTGTGGTTTACCTAAAACTTAATAGTTGGAAATGTGGAAATTCGGTAAAAGAAAAACTTATGGTGAAGTATCATTAATCTGCCTATTGCCGGGGCATGATTTTTCTGTTGGCTGCTTTGTTGACTGCTGGCTGGAGAATTTTTTGGTTCTATGGTGCTGGAATTTGGTTTTTCTGGGAGAGATTTTGTATTTTGATGGTTTACTGAGTGGTGGTTGGTATTACACCACTTTTTTTGCTGGATTGGTTCTGGAAGTTGAAAGTTCTTATGGCAGGATTTATCTCTTTTTTGGATTTGCTGGCGGCATTCTTCGTTGCTGCTCAAATCTTAATTATGTTGCTGTGTTGGAGCTGTTCGGGATTCGTTTCTTAGGCAGGCAAATTTTTGAGCCGAGGACGATGATGAATCCTGCCTCTCCTTTTGGATGGTCTACGGGCAACCAAGGAGCATGATCCATTTCATGACTGATCAAATTTTATTCTGAGTCCTGGCTGGACAGGCTTTCTTGTCTGCAATTTTGCTTCAAGTATTTTTGGTCTTTATAGTTTTAGCATTTCTCTTGTTTTTGCTGTTTGCCTTCTTTTTGTTTAGGCAAGGTTAGAGAGAGAGAGAGAGAGAGAGAGAGAGAGAGAGAGAGAGAGAGAGAGAGAGGGGAGAGAGCCGACGTTCCTTGCTCCTCCAAAGCCGAATCCCTTTCCATCTCCCTCCGACCTTACCCCGCCTGCAAACCCAAACTCCAACCTCCTCCTTCCTCTTCTCTGACCTAGCCGTGATCCTCTCTGTCGACGACACTTCCCTCTGTCGGTTCGAAAGTTAGGCATTTTGATCCGAAGTAGGATAGGAGCTCGCTAGCTGTGAAGGCAACTCTCCCTTTCAAGCATTGTTTCGGCTAAATCCCGTAATCAAAAGTTCTCTCTCGTGATCGGGAGGGGTAATTAACTATAAGGGCTTGCGTCTATAGGAAACTAGAACTTAGATCATAAAGTCCTCACAAAATGAGGGCGAAATCTCTGGGTATTGTTTTATCTACAAACCCATTTGCATTCCAAAATTTACTCCTGAAACTAATTTCGTTAAAACTCCCCCCCCAAAGAAAAAGCAGAAAGTGGGCGGAGGCCGGGGCAGAATTTTCGAAGCCCACATAAGTTCATCGGAAGTGGCATTGCTTGACGAATAGAACGAAGTACCATCAAGGAATCCTTTGAAGCCATTCGACACATAATACTTTTTCCACTTGAGATCACCAAATGGGATAATTATTTGAGGTTAGTGGTGTGGTTACTAGGTTCTTGATATTGCTCATCAATAACTTAAGTTGAGGAGGAATAGTAATGGGCCGGGGTAAATATGAACAAGGAATCCATAGTAGGTGGTGATTTAGAAGAGCCAGCCATAGATGGATATGACGAGACAAAAAGGAAAAAAAAAAAAAAACTCAGTTGCTATTGTAGCTGTGCTCTGATGCCATGATACATAGAAGAAGCAAGAGCAAAACTACCCGCTGAGATGCAAAACAACCAAAAAGCATAAAGATGAAAAAAAAAAAATTGTCTCAACAATTGGGATAAACTTTACAAAGCATTATTTTTTATTCTTTGTTGTTCATTTTCAAACATCTGATTGTATTTTTAATTCCTCTAATATATTCAATTAATGAAATATACATAACATTTCAAACAAAATCTTCATCAAACTTTCACATAGCTTCTTTTCGAAGGCTCCAAACCAGAATCATTTATGTTCGAGTGATGATGACTTGCTTCTACTGAAATTCTGCTTGATCTTCCACAGAACTGGAAAATGACGTTGAATTCATTACTTGCTTAGGAGGCGCAGAATCAATCATTTTGATGGGAATTTAAGTTAAAAATACGATTTTGGCTCCACAAATATAGAAGAGTTTATGAATGGGAGAATGATTGAATTGCATAATGCAGGAAGGGTTCATATTTAGTTCAAAGTACAGTGATTTATGGTTTAAACTTGCGTTAATATCAGCATCAAATTTATTTGGACTAATTTCGAACAGATCAAAACTTAGGGATATCTTAATATGATATCGGTTTAAGGGCATCTCCAACAGAACTACAACGTCCTTTTGCAGCTACTACAAGCCTCCACCAGAATGCCAAAAAGAAACACATTTTTGCGGCCGTGAATAGTGTGATGTCAATATTGACGTCACACTATTCACAAAAACCCATTTTCTGGCGAAAATGAAGATGAGAAATAATCTATATGGAATATTGATTTTTGTTGTTGAAAATATAGTTCAGTTGGAGATGAATTACCATTTGATAATGCTATTATTGATTTTGAAGTGGAAAATGAGGAGTTCGGTTGGAAATGCCCTAAATCATGAATGACATGTTAGAGTTGATGAGAGCTTGTTCTAAGAATGATATATTTCAAATTTTCATTGAATTTTATTCTTATGAAAGCTTTTGATTCATCATACATGATACATTCATATATCTAGCTAGACACAAGCATATAGAGGGATAAATTTGTACATTATGAATGAAAATACATGTGCATGTTAAGTGTTGGATTCAAAATTATTTGGTTGAAGATGATCTACGTATTCTGTTGACTTGCATTATGTAGAGAAGCAAGAAATAAAAGAATGGACTTGTAACTGTTCAAATTCTCAAACATCAAGATATTATTTGCTTTGGCCTAAAGCCTAATGGTTTTGTTCTGTTGGCGTAATTTTCTAGGAGGTCACCTATCTTCGAAGCGCTCCAATACAAGTATGCATATTTTAAAGTTTCTAATAAAATTTCAACTATTACATCAAAAGATTCATCAATATTTGAGAGTTTAACTTTATATTTTTGAGAAGTTTCCTACTTCCCCTCAACCATTACATCAAAGGTCTCATCAATATTTGAAAATACAAATGCAAGCCTAACTGTATATATCTCATTTAACAATTTTTTTTGTGGGGAAATTGAGAGCTGACGCTCAAAGTAAATTATGTAAAGGAATAAAAAAAACAAAAAAAAACAAAAAAAAAAAAAAAAAAAAAAACGTAATATAGCAAAAAGGCTAGAAGATAAACTTATCAAATAAAGGGGAAATTATTCGGGGCGGACACCGGACGTAGCTCTACACCCGGATGCCAATAGAAAGATGTCACATTGCTAGTCCCATGACCCGACATCCCGAGATGACCAAAAATCCAAAATTTAGCACGTGTTTTTACATTTAATGCGCGAATGACAACCCAACCCGTGGTCCGGATTTGAATAGTCGCTTTTTACAGAAAAAAAAGCCGTGGAAAACTGAAAAGCCTCCAAATTGAATTGAGACAGTGCCCCGCAGTTTTTTTCTATAAAAAAGTGACTATTCAAATCTGGACTGTGTGTCGGGCTGTCGAGCCGTGCGGTAAATGAGAAAGCACTTGTTAAATTTTGGCTTTTTGTCATATCGGGGGTCGTCGGATCATGGGACTAGCAACATGACATCTTCTTATTGATGTCCGAATGTGAAGCTACTCAGAAATTGCAAAAAAAAATCGGGCATGAATAGAAAGCTCAGGTACTCTTGAATGTGAATGATTGATAATAACATCACAGAGGCAATAACTGCGGGCGGTACAGATCTGGAAAAGATGCCATCCAAGAAATAGAGACTCGACCAAGCAGTCAAATTCTCATTGTGGAAAAGAAAGAGGAAGAAGAAACTTCTCTCAATTTTCTAAATATTATCCATGACATAAACTGTGAAATCTCTTAAGTAAAAAATAAATTAAACTCTTAGATGTCTTTTGATGTAATGATTAAAATTTTATTAAGAAACTCCGCAGTCAAACTTGCTCATCCTAGATTACTCCTATAATGGGTGACCTCCTCAGAAGTTACACTAAGAAATAAAATCGTGAGACCCTTAGATCAAAACATACAATATCTCTATAGTTAAGAATCTAGACTGTTATATAAAACTCCTGCAATTTTTGCAAGATTGAAGGAATGAGGAGCAAAGTGTCAGTCCAGAGAAGCCACTGCTAAAGCACAGCATTCGTTATCATTGTTACTTAAAGAACATATGGCCGGAATGAGCGTTATTGACAAGCCATCAGCCATTTTCAATCAGCCTTTAATGATAAGCCAAGAGTTAATAGAAACAAATCATGCCTACGATGTCACAAATTAATCTGCAATGATGCAAGAAGCATCACAAAAATTTTCAAAGGTGGAATTCAATAAGCCCCACTATGATAATCCACTAGAGAGGCCACAAGGTGTAATCTTGTCAAAAATATGAAATTAGATGTGGGGGCAATTGATACATCATCGAAAATCATCAACATCAAGCACGACTCTCAATGCCTACATCAATTACAAACATTCAAAGCTATATTTAGGATCATCTGAAGTCTGGTTTTAGCAAACTTATCGTGTAACTGATTGTTTTGACAAAATGAATCTGATAAGATAAAAAATGGCCCAATCCAAACCTATAAATTTCCAATATGACGAGTCATCAAAAGAAGAAATTATTCTGTGTAGGGGCCGGACGCAGCTCTATGTCCGGAGACCAACTAGAATGCGTCCGTTAGCGGTACTGAGCCGCAATACTAAGCAGTGCCGAGCCGTGATATCGAGCGGGGTGATGTGGTGCATTCTGATTGTTCTCCGGAAGACGTTTGACATCTGCACAAAATATTAAGAATCTAGCAACCTTGTGCAAATCTTTTCAAAAGTGGGTGGAACTCATTATTACCTTAACCCCACATAATTCACACAGAACCATCTACATTCAAACCAATTAGCTGTAAAAAATTAAGAGTATTCTAGTATAAGTTAGGTCATTATTTTTTTTTTTCAAATTGGACAGCAAGGAGTCAGACTGTCAGAGTGCCAATATGAATGTGAATGTTTCAGGAGAAACAGAAGCGAGTGCAGTGAATAACATGCAGGCATGTGGTAACCATAACAACAACTGCAGCCTTTCAGGCCCCCTTCCCCACTCAAAAAAGGGATTGGAATGCATATTTAGGAATAAAACAAATATATATTACACAATAAAATGAAGAAATTTAGATCCTTTTTATTTTTTTTAGAACATTTAGGTCAATTAAGGCTTCGTTTGGGAGGGTTTTTTTTTTATTGTTTCTTAAAGTAATTTTCTATTACAAACATTTTTATTTTTATACTTGTTGCGTGTTAGAAAATACGCGGCGGTAGAGTTTGTAAATTCGCGTCCGAGCTTTGCACGTAAATTTAACACACAAACAGTAAAGAGAAAACGAACACCGGGATTTATACGTGGAAAACCCAAAAAGGGAAAAAACCACGTGGCCTTGCCCAGTTGTAAAATTCCACTAGTGCTTTTGTAAATTACAAGAAACTGATTCGTCTCACAAATTGTGACGATCGGATTACAATTTGAAGCCAATTTACAAAGTTTTGCAGAATCCCGTCGTTTCTCGAAAATCCGACAGAGTTTCGGCTTATTAAGGCGGCGGAAAGATCTCCGGCGGTGGTCGAGGAGGAGAGGAATCGCCTTTTCCCCTTTTCCTTCTTCTTCTCCTCTTCTTCTCTCTATTCACTTGAGTCCTTTTGGTGTAGAATGAGGGCTCTATTTATAGTTTTTCTGGAGTGGCATAGCCCGTAAATAGGCGTGAGATCAAGGGCGAATTGGGAGTGTTTGAATGACGGCTGATATTGAATCCTTTGATCATGCCTGTTTGTTGGACATTTGAAGCTTAATGATGTCGGAATTTGGGCGATCTTGGGTCGTTGGATTTGTCTCGTCGAGCCGTTCGATTCGAGTATAGCTCGTCAAAATCGGAGACCGTTTGGTAACTCAAATTGTTGTTTGAACCTTCCACAGCTCTTTAAGCCCTTGATTCAGACTCATTTGGCTCGTGATCGGGTTATCTCTGGTGTCGGGTTTGGGTTGTATCTGAGACGCTCAGTTTGACTGTAAGTTCGCTGAAATCGGAGTTCGGGTGCTCCCAAAATTAATTTTTGAAGTTTTCAACTTATTTTTGCCTCGAGATTCGTGCCCGATTAAGATAGTTTTATAATGACGTATCAATACTAAAAAATTGCTTTAAGAAGCAGTAAGAAAGCTGTCCAAAACAAAGCGTAAGTCAAACTCACATGCATATCACATTCAAAAGTTTCAAATTCAAGACATCTTGATTGATAATCAAAGCTCCCAACTAATAGAGCAAGATGAGTTGCAAGAAATTTAGGCTTTAATCTGTGTTTCTCCTTAATTATGTTTTGAAGTAATCAGTTTTAGAAGAAATATATCTAATCTTTAAGATTAAGAAGATTTTTTTATTTAATGACAAACAATATATTAAAATATGATTTAAAAAAAAGGTTTTTTTAAACTTGAATTGTATTTTGAATTTCTCACAAAAATTTAGATGGTGATGATTTCAATAGTTTTCGTTTTCTGAGGTTTATTAAATTATTATTATTTATTATTATTATTAGAATTTTTTTTTGGACATATGTATTTTAAATGGATTTCAATAATAGAAATGCAATGCATTATTATGAGAATAGAATAAAATTTTGTGATTTTAGTTAAATTTTAATGGTTTTATACACTCATATTTATACAAAGGAACTGAATCAAATTCAATAAATCAAAAAAATTTGAAAAGGTTTGAATTACTTAGCCACCTATATCTCGAGCAATCCAAAATTCCATCTTGTACATTTGGGGAGAATTAGCCATAATTTAACTTTCTATTCTAAGTCGTTAAACTCTCCCAAAAGACTTACAAAGTCACAAACTTGGTAAATGTGTTTACTCGAAGAATTCGTCAAATTTTATAGAGCACTCGATGGCTAACTAAAGGCTTTCACAAGGAGAACTCATCATTGAAATTCAAATAAAATTCGAAAATTGATGAGTAGCAACAATGACTAAAAGTTGACTCCAAGTTTAAGGTTTCGCTTGGAACAACTTTCATACAACTTTTATATTGCTTTACAAAATAAAGTTTTTAGTATAATTTTTTTTTTTGAAAAAAAAGATTTATACTGAAACTCTATTTTATAAAGCAATAGAAAGCTGTCTGAAATAAAATCTAAATCATTTGTCATTCAACCAGCCACTTGGTGAAATTCATTCATTTTTTACGTAATTATATCATGTCGTGGATTTCGACCCACACTTATAAATATGCATCGCTAGTTATATATGTTCATAAACTCTCATATGGAATTTTATTAGTGTTGGCTATTTAATATTTTAACTATTTAGATCAAAATTGTTAAAATGGATTAAAAAAGAGCTTTGGATAATTTCACATAAATAATTATTAAAATTGATTTAAATTCATATAATTATTTTAATTAAAGAAAATATGTTAATAATTTAATATCCAACAATAAACTTTCAAAAAAGAAAATAAATGATTTTTTCTTTAGTATATTTAAATCATAGTTGATAGTACAATTTAAAATTTATATATTTTTATATAAATTTATTTGAATAGTCTCACATAAAAAATAAATTTATAATAAAATGCTAAAAGGTATCGCGTGGCGTCCCTCCAAATTCTCAATTTTTCAAAATTCGAATTTGTTGGGGATCTAACGGCTACAAACCTAACGTCAGTCTCGTGACGGAAACCGTCGAAGTTTCGTACTTTATAAGCCCCAAAAGCCCTCGTTCCTTTCTCATCGCCGTTTCCCCCTCGCTCTTTCCCATTTTCCCCACATTTTCACCTTTTCTCAGAGAACACTCATTTCTTCTCCGCCAACCTTCAGATCGTGAAAACATGAGGGAGATTCTTCACATCCAGGGAGGGCAATGCGGGAACCAGATCGGAGCCAAGTTCTGGGAAGTTGTGTGCGCAGAGCACGGTATCGACGCGACTGGGAGGTACCATGGCGACTCAGAACTTCAGCTTGAGCGGTTGAATGTATACTACAACGAAGCTAGTTGTGGGCGGTACGTGCCTCGTGCGGTCCTTATGGATCTGGAGCCTGGTACCATGGATAGTGTTAGATCGGGGCCCTATGGGCAGATCTTCCGCCCGGACAACTTTGTCTTTGGACAGTCTGGTGCTGGGAATAACTGGGCGAAGGGTCACTACACGGAGGGCGCTGAGCTCATCGATTCGGTTCTTGATGTGGTCAGGAAGGAAGCTGAGAACTGTGATTGCTTGCAGGGTAAGATTATTCTGTCGTCCTATTTTTGGCTTTTCAGTTTTAGTTTTTAAATGAGTAGATGGATCTTTACTGATGTAGCAGTTTGGTGTTTTGCGTTTCCCTTTTAACCTTCTGTGATTCGATGGAATTATGAACAGAGCATGCTTTGCAGTTTTCCATTTCTGTTTTCTTACTCAGATTTCTTATTTATTTAATTGCTGTGAAAATTTAGGTGATATCAGCCATTTACTTTTGCAGTTTTATTTTGAAATTTTTGGTTACTTAATTGATGCCGGTTGTTTTTTCTTGTCTTGTTAATAATGGAGAAAAACACAAACCCATAGTGTTATTTTAATTTTATGTTTAGTTGATTTTTTTACCAATATTGTAGTCTTATTGGAGATCATTAGTAATTTCATAGATGGACTCACATTATTTGTAAGTAGCCTGTAAAAATAAGCTCAAATTTGGTGACAAATTATAGACTCATAACTTATGGGCATACTAGTTACGGTGGGTTCTGCCCCGAAAGCTTAATAATCTCTTCCTCAAGTGAGAGATTTTCATATTGACTATTATTCTTTCTCAAATAAAATATTTCCAATGTCTTTGTGCCTCTTAACTATATGATTGCATCATGAAATTACTTGCTATTGAAAATTTCTCAAGTATGATATTGACATACTAATATTTGTAAGGGCCACAAATTATATGAATCATACTATCTCAATCAGATTAACTCTGATAATGTTAGTTAAAGAGTAGAAACCAAATGAGTTTTGAAATTTAGCCAACTGTATCAGTCATCAAATCTATTAGCAACCCAATATCATGCACACAAAAAAACCACTTAACCATATTGATGAGGATATCCACTAGAGATTTCGACGTATTTACCATCGGCGGAATTGTAGATAGTCTCTATTTATGATGTTTCAGTGCATTTCTTTTATTTATTTTTTAATTTTCCGCTTGTACTCCTATGAGGGATTTGTGTCATGTTGTAACTTGAGGGCATTTGTGTCTTTTACATTTTATGCTTTAAAGGCCTATATATTAAGGCATAGTCATAGTCATTGTATTATTTTCTAATGACTATTATAAATGATAATTCCACTTTCTTGTTTGATCTCTTTGTGAGTTATTGAGAGGAGAAACTCTAGGTGAGGGTGAGGGTAATACTTGTCAACCTTGGTGGATTTCGAGGTTCGTGGTTATTCGATTTCTCCTTTCTCTTATACCTTCACACCAATCCCACTCAACCACCCGTTGGCCTCCCCTTCCCGTGGCCCCATCCCCTCCCTAAACCGAAATTCCCATTCCCATTCCACGCCGCCGGCCTCCCTTGGCCGCCCCTCCCGCCGCCCACCACCCTTCTAGCCGCCCACCACCCTTCTAGCCACCGGCCTCCACAACCCCATCTGCCCCGCTCCACAAGTCCAAACCGCTGACCCCTCCCATTGCTCCCCAAATTTGAAATTCAAAATTTCAAATACCCATTAATCTCTTTCCTAAAATAGGTTTTAGCTAATTAGGAAAGCTTCTAATTGAAATTCCATTAAACAATTGAATTCAAATTCTTTAATAAGGCTAGAATTTAAATTAGGAAACCTCCCTCATTTAAACAAATATGAAATTAAATTTAGATTTGTGTCAAATCTTTATTTTCTTCATTGGGGCATGTTTAATGAAATTAGCCTCTCTCCTAGCTCTATATGGTCGGCAACCTCCTTTCCATCCACAAGCTTACCTCTAACAATAACTACTCAATTTCATTTGATGCATTTGGGTTTATCATCAAGGATATACAGGACAATCAAACTCTTCTTCATGGTTGGAGCCATGATAGCCTCTACTCAGTGTCCACACACAATGTCTCTTCCTCCACAGCTTTCACTCCAAACTAACTCCACCTCATTATGGCATGCCTACCTATGCCACCCTCATCAGCTTATTATGAACACTCTTGCTAAAATCAATCCATCTTTCACTTCTTTTTTATGCAAATCATCTAACGTGGCCAAAAGTCACAAACTACCGTTTACTATTAGTTCTACTCATGTTACAACACCTTTAACTCTAATTCATTCAGACGTTTGGGACATGCTTCGGTCTCCTCTCTTAATGGCTATGGCTACTATGTAATCTTCATCGATGACTATTCTTGCTTTTGCTGGCTATTTTTAATACACACAAAAGATGAAACTCTATTCAAATTTCAACATTTCTTCCTGAAACCCAATTCAATTATAAAAGTAAAATCATCCGCTCCGATGGAAGAGGTGAGTACATAGGCCCTTCCTTCAAGAAATGTCTATTAGATAATGACATCATACATCAATTAAGTTGTTCTTATACACCTGAACAAAATGGGCTGGCTGAAAGAAAATACAAACATTTATTGGACACAACTTTTATGCTATTCCATGCCGCAAACCTTCCACCACACTTCAGGGTTGAGGCTTTGCTCACTTCAAATTACCTCATAAATCACCTACCCACCAAAGCCTGTAACCTCCAAATCCCATTTCAATGGCCATTCCCCTACATATATCCATCCCAAAACATTCAATTGTTTGTGTTTTCCTTGGCGCAAACATCAAAACCGAACAAACTCACACTGTGATCACATGAGTGCATCTTCTTGGGTTACTCCACATTACATAAAAGTTATCATTGTTTCAATCCTCAAACCCATAAAATTCATATCTCCAGACACGTCATATTTTATGAACATCCCTTCCCTTACCTCTCTACATCTCCGATCTCACTATCAAGCCATTTTTCAATTGCTTTATGTTAAATCAGAGAGTTTGAGAGGAAAAGCTTGAATTTTATTAAGCAATCTACTCCCTATTTATAGATCTATACAAGGTATATCAATAAGGAAACAAATAACTCTTATAATAATATGAATATAATTATTCCTAAATCAATGGGAGGAATTAATGCAATCCTTGTAGTCCTCCCACGGATTACTGTTCACAGTCGTGGATGTCTTCGGGATCGTAAGGTTGAGATTTAACACTTTTATCTCCTCTCATGCTTATCCCAATCTCCAACATTCAGTCCTCCATCAACAATCAACGCATGCATCCACTCAAATAATACACCACAAACCTCCTCCTCCACACATACAAATCATTCTCCACTCCCCCACATAGAACTCACTGCCCTATCACCTCATAATCCCCACCTCCTTCTCAATCCCATCTACCCACTCATCCCATGCAAACTCGTTTAAAAACAGGGAACCTAAAGCCCAAACAAATCTTTGATCTCTTGGTTATACCACAAAACAATCTAACTCCTACATGTTTCACTCAAGTTGCCAAACATCAGTCTTGGCGTTCAGTTATGTCAGCTGAATTCCTAGCACTGCAAAAACATGGCACATGATCCTTAGTTCCAGCTCCCACAAATCACTCAATCCTTGGCTGTAGTTTGAGGGGGATTGTTAGCACACTCTACTCGCAAGCACGTCACTGAAGACCTCCGCTCTCCACTACAACCGCATTTGACGTTGCTTCACATGAGTTGCAGTCAAGACCTACTGCTAACGTCAACACAAAACTTTCTAACCAACTTGTCTCCTACGTCTCTTTATATGTACTCTAAAACAGTGTAACAAACATTTATGATGAATATACAGAATCACTGTTATAGGATAACTCTTCTCTTTACATCTCTGCATTACCTTAATTCTATTCATGCCTGCTTTCAAAAAACGAACGCATGCAGGTACCTATATCCTAGTAGGTCACAGAACATATCATGTGATTCAATAAACAATAAAAAAAGTATTATATAATATATATATATATATATATATATATATATTGATGGACTCAGTAAGTCATGACTTATGTTAAGAAAAATAGACATAATTAAGAAGACTTGATCATAAAGTATTAGAAATTATATATATTTTTATTAGATTTAAATAAGAATTTGAATCTTAATAGAACACAATGGAGAGAAAAAAGATTCATGTAGCTAACCCCATGAAATAAGATAAAAGTTTGATGTTGTTGTTAATATTGTATTCATTTATATTGCTGATCTTGTTAAGTACTATTGTAGCTGGTCATTCTATTTTTTTTTTGAATTGATGTTATGAGCTCAACTCTATCTAGCCAACCAGATAAATTTGAATTCATCCTGGCGATGCTTGTCAAAAAGGTCAATTACATAAGTTTGTCAAGATAGCATCCAAGTTACTTACCATGCTCCAAATGTATTTGGCAGGGTTCCAGGTCTGCCACTCGCTTGGAGGTGGAACCGGCTCCGGCATGGGGACGCTACTCATATCCAAGATCAGAGAAGAGTATCCGGATCGAATGATGCTTACCTTCTCTGTCTTTCCTTCCCCAAAGGTTTCTGACACTGTTGTTGAACCATATAACGCCACCCTCTCTGTCCACCAGCTGGTAGAAAATGCAGATGAGTGCATGGTTCTTGACAATGAAGCCCTCTATGACATCTGCTTCCGCACTCTCAAGCTCAGCACACCTAGCTGTAAGCCCTAATCCTCCATTGCTGATTTTTTCTTTCCTGTGACCGAAAGCTAATTTTGTTCGTGCAATTCAGTTGGTGATCTTAATCACTTGATCTCTACAACCATGAGTGGAGTCACCTGCTGCCTTCGATTCCCAGGGCAACTCAACTCCGACCTTCGAAAACTCGCAGTCAATTTGATCCCGTTCCCCCGCCTCCATTTCTTCATGGTTGGTTTTGCACCCCTGACATCTCGCGGGTCTCAGCAATACAGGGCCCTCACAGTTCCTGAGCTCACCCAACAGATGTGGGATGCAAAGAACATGATGTGCGCCGCCGATCCCCGCCACGGCCGCTACCTCACCGCCTCAGCAATGTTCAGAGGCAAAATGAGCACAAAAGAGGTGGACGAGCAGATGATCAATGTGCAGAACAAGAACTCATCGTATTTCGTCGAGTGGATCCCAAACAACGTGAAGTCTACCGTCTGCGATATACCTCCAACCGGGCTGAAGATGGCGTCGACGTTCATAGGGAATTCAACGTCGATCCAGGAGATGTTTCGTCGTGTGAGCGAGCAATTCACGGCGATGTTTCGCCGGAAGGCGTTTCTGCACTGGTACACCGGCGAAGGCATGGACGAAATGGAGTTCACAGAGGCGGAGAGTAATATGAATGATTTGGTGTCGGAATACCAGCAGTATCAGGATGCGACAGCTGAGGATGAGGAGGGAGAGTATGAGGAAGAAGAAGAAGGAGAATATAACCAGGAGGCTTGATTGAGAGACTCTCAGGTCTCAGCTTCCTTATCGTATCACTAGACTCTACTATATTTTCTGTTGACGCTTCTGTGTTTGATTTTTATTTTTCTGTTGAAAAAGTTTTATCTTGGAGTTTTGGATGTAGCAGTAGCTTGCTGTTGATGATGGATCATTGGATTTTAGTATTTTACTGAACTGCTCATCTTTTATAATGTTTCTTTGTTATTTTGTTTTTGATTGATAGATATTGTTTCCAGTATTCACCGCAGCATTACTGTGTGATATTGAGATGTTTTAATTGCTCGTCTAAAGCAATTTTTTGGTGCTAAAAAATTGTTGTAGAAAACATTACGAAAGCCATCCCAAAGGAGAAAAAATATTTTGTGCAGAGGCTACTTTCAGAGGTGAATCAGGTGCAGTCACATTAGCGGTACAGAGTTGCGGTACCAAGCTGGGGTATACAACAAAGAAATGATGTGTTGCATTCTTATTGTTTTATGGATGTTGTTCGGCATCTACACATAATAGTTGATCTCAAAAGAAAGCCTTAGTGATTAATTTAAAATTGAAAATTGATATTACTTAGATAATTACATTCCTTAGAAAATGACAAAACTTTGGTTTGGTTGAAGAGTTAAAGTTGTACCATGAAGTCTTGATTATTGTGATTGTTGTTCTAAAATCTTTTGATATTTTCTACAGTGCAGATCGGCCTGGACGATCTCCAATCGGCCCGGACGATCCTGGGAAAAATATCACTTTTCCCAGCAGCTACAGTAACAGCAAAGGAACGAGGTCTCACATGATATTACTTAGATAATTACATTCCTTAGAAAATGACAAAACTTTGGTTTGGTTGAAGAGGTAAAGTTGTACCATGAAGTCTTGATTATTGTGATTGTTGTTCTAAAATCTTTTTAATTTTCTTAGAAAGAATCTGAAATGCCTAAAATGAATTGGATGATTGGGATTCCTAATCACATTTAAAGATAATCAACATGATCATTACCTGAATTCTTATCATTGATCTAATAAGATTGCTCATAGATGTGTAACTCATTTTGATCTGTTGGTTGAGAATTTTGATTATTAAGTATGGGGTTTTAGATTTGAAACTAAATTAATACTTATATGTCATTATTTAGATCCTTATTTAAAAAGTTAACAGATTAAAATGAGACTTTTAAATAATTAGAATTTATTTTGATCTTTCATAAATAGCCAGATGATCATTTTAATCCTTATCTCGATTAATTTTATTATACATATTCTTTATTTAAGACTTTCTATATTATCTCTCAATATAATTAAATTATTAAATAACACAATTAAATTTAAAAGAAAAATACAACTAAACTATTAGACAATATTATCTAATAGTTTGCTTATAATATCTTTTAAATTTAATAGTATTATCTAATTATTATATTGGATTGACAGATAAGAAGTGATGCACGCAATTAAGAATATGTGTGATAAAATTAATCCTATCTTTACATAAATTCATCAAAATATCCTCCGTAAATACTTTTTCAGCTACTGCTTCCCAAAAACTTGAACCCACAGCCTTCTCTTCAGCTCCTTACTGTACCAAAAAAAAAAAAAAAAAATCTTTTTTATCTAACAACAGATAGTTTCTACGAGAAAGAAGATATAAAAATGAGAACTTTATACCTGAGGAGCTCTCTGTCAACCGAGGAAGTCGAAATCAATCCTCTGTTCTCCTCTGCTCTCCTTAGCAGGTAAGGCATGACCTGTTCTACCGGCCCAAATGGCAGATACTTACTAACTTGGAACCCGGCATTCCTAAGCCCCAAAGACAACCCATCCGCCATTCCCATCAGCTGCGCAAACTGCAACTTCTGCTCTCCTTTCCCGATTCCCAGCTCCTCCGCCTTCGCCGCCGCCATCTTCCCTGCAACCACCGATGCATTAAGAAACTTGCTCCAAAAGCTTTCTACCGAAACATTGCTCTGAAAGAACAGTCACCGGATTCTAGATTATGCGTGGCGAGCACCACCGAACAAGATCCCTTCACAATTCTCTCAATCATGAAGGCGGCGCAATCGTTGAAGCAAGCGTGCGTCTCCTGAATGCTTCTGTGGATTGGAGAAGCCATGCCGAGTGAGGAAGCGAGAGCAGTCTCCCTTGACAAATAAGCGCCTCTCACCAACTTGAATCCAATCGAGATTCCTGCCTTCTTCGCACCGTCGACTGCTTGAATCAGTCTTTCCTTGGAGTCCTTCAAGTAAGTTTGGATTGTGCCGTGCACGAGCGGCCGCCGCTCGTCCTTGTTGAAGTCTAGTGCGGCGGCGTAGATCAAGTAGTCGATTGCGGGCTGAACCGAGGTGTACTCGGCGTCGACGAGGAGGGGGAGATTGGCGGCGCCGGAGCAATGGTGGCAGAGCGTTGCGAGTCTGTTGTGTGAGAGGTGGAGCTCCCGTTCTTCTTCTTCGGTTAGAGGCGGTGGAGCTCTGGGAGTGTGGTAGAGAGGGCTGGCGTCGGTGAGGATTTGGAGAGATGGTCTCTTCCATGGAAGGCGGATAGATGGATCTTTTCTTTCCCATCGGAGAAGATCGCTGACGCGTTCGAGTAGTTTAATTGGGGAGATTGCGGTGATTTTCACGCAAGCAAAGCTGACCTGTTGATGAGGGTGATACGGATAAGAACACTAAGAAATGGGGAAGTAATTAACAATTTGTTTTTCTTAAATTTTTTATTTTTAATTCAGACACTGAGTGATTTAAATACATATCACTCAAAATTATCAAATTTATCTTTTTCCTATAGAACTTTTAGTATTTACATCATAAAGTATCTACTTTAATGACATTAGCCAATCTAGTCCAATACTCTCTGGACTTCACAGATAAGAAAGAGATTATTCTGTGCGGTGTACGGACACGTTCGGAGACTAATCCAGATACGTCACCTCATCCAATGCACTGTGCATTGGATGATGTGGCGAGTCCTGATTGATGAGGATATCAATAAGAGGAGAGTAACTCACATATATATGGGCAAATATAATTGGTTGGTGGGGCAAAATTTGCACGCAAGTGGTAACGAGGCTATAAATGTCATAACACAAACTCTCAATCAACAAGATATTGTTATAGCCTGATAATTTTGTCCTATTTGTGTAATTTCTCGGAAGATCATCCAATTTAAGAGTGTTCTGATCTAGCACGTTTAATTTTGTAGTTTCTAATAAAATTTCAACATTTACATGTGTGACATCCCTTCACTTGAGGAAGAAGCACTTCCTCATGGATCTTGAAAGAGGAGGAGGAGAGAGAGGAGAGGGAGGCGGTGAGCCAAACTATGCAAATCTTTATTCCTTGGCTGCTTTCCTAATTCAAGCTAAAGCCTATTAATAGGCACAAAAGCAACACCTACAGCTATACAAATAGCTACACAAAAGCAAACCTAAATCTAGGACTAATACCTAACAACATGAAAATATGCCTACATTTTTAAATTTTAATTTTATTTTCTAAATAAGTTTCACAATAGATAGCTGAGATGACGAGCTCTCATACAAACTAGCATAGTATGAGGTTAGGGTTTTTGTTTTTGAGTTTATTTATATTTTTTTGGGATTGGGGAGCTCAAAGTTGACACAAGCGACAAAAATTCTTTAAAATTTATGGAAGTATTGTATGTTTGAAATTATCCAAAAGAGTGGGTATTATAATTTAACAACATAACGTGTACAATAGCTATATAAAATTTTTGAATAAATAAATTAACAGCAAATAAATAAGTTTGTAAACTTTATATTGATTAAAAAAAGCCACTTCCCAAACCAATTCAGACTTAAATTTGTCTCTTATTTTATTTTATTCATAAAAAGGCAAATTTTAAAAATATTATATATCATAATATAAAGATAAAATATATAAAGTAAATTTTATAGCACCAAAATATTTAAATAAAATTACATAATAATACCATAAATGCATAAAAATCAGGAGATTTTAGCAAATATAATTTTTATATTGATTAAATTTAATTATTAAAAGCTATTTTCAGCATTAAAAATATATCAAAATCAAAGTCAAACATAGCTTTTAGCCTTTTTACAGTTTAGAAAAATAAATTGCCGCTGAACTGACTAATCTTTTCTAGAGATTTTTATGTTATCTTCGTGTGGTGCAGCATTACTCTGAATAGAAAGGCTTGCTTACCGATGAGGGAGGAAGAGTCGCCGTTAACTCCACGGTTGAAAGAAATCCGGCGAGGTTTCGGTCGCAGGCGGCTCCATCCTCTGCATCTTCGAGACCGTAATCGAGGATCCCGCGCATTCCTTCCTTCCACAGCCGGCGCAGCGTCTCCGCCGCCTCTTCAGCATCCTCGCCGGCGCAGAACTGCCGGTATACCGTCCTCCTCACCATCCCCATGACCGCCGCCCTAACCGCCCAGCTCTCCTCCACCGCCCTTGATCGCATCACCGCCATACCGACATCCACCGCCGGACCCACGGCCATCGGGTATAGCGTGGCTAGGGACCTAATTAGCTCCCCTGTTTTCACCGTCGTGTAAAGTCGCCCGGTGTCCTCCAAATCCAATATCGGCGGCGATTCCTTCGCCGGAATCGGTACGGCCACTGCTGGGACGGCTGACTCTTGAATCTTTTTGGTGAGGACAAAAGGCGCCGACGAGGTCAGGGAGGGGCGGTATCTGATGAGCAGAGGGCGTAATGTTTTGCTGATCTCGCGAGCGAAAGCCATCGATGCAATTCGCCGGCCTTTGAGCTTCCCTTCAGCCATTGAGTGGCTATAAATAAGTAGCAAGAAGCAGAAGACGTAGAATATTTGCCGCGTGGCAGAATAGAATTGGTAAGGACAAATAAAAAATATAATAAATAATTTAACTATTAAAAATATTTCTATATTAAAAAAAATTAAAAGTAGCCAAACCGTCCGTTTAACATAGCGTTTTAATATTTTTATCATTTCTTTATAATCCTAATGAAAAAATTTAAATAAAACTTAAATAAAATAGGTATAAATACATAACTAAAATATAATAAATATCAAAATTAAATTTTAGTTAAATTTTTTTCATTAAAAATTATTTAATATATATATATATTATCTTTATTTTAAAAAATAAATACAAACTAAAATACTGATCAGGAGCCAATTATCTTCCTTCAAAACTTAGGTCTCATGGAAATTTTACCAGTTCTTTAAAACGGGAGAAAGAGCCACATCACAAATACTCTCCTTCCTCTGCTTCTTATTGCGTATTTATGGCGACTGGATGGCTGAGGGGAAGCTCACAAGCTACAGAATTTCTTCAATGAATTCCAGTCACAAAATCGGCAAAGCCATCAGTGACCTCGTCGACGCCTTTCAACCTCCACGGTTGAAAGAATTCCGGCAAGGAAGCAAGTTTTTTGTCACCATTACGGCGGCCCTCGCCGCACAGTCATTCTCCACTCCTTAGATTGCATCACCGGATTCATCGCCAGAGCCACCGCCCGTGGCCAGCGACCTCAGCAGCTCCGCTAGCTGTTTTCGCCGTCACGTAAAGCTGCTCGCTGCTTTATCCATCAGCTACTTGGTCTACAATCAAAGGTGCATGTGACCAGTATTTTATTTTTAAAACATGATTAAAAAAAGTTCTTTTAGTACCCCTTCGCCGGAATTTGAGCTACGGCCACCGCCAGGACGGCTGACTCTTGACGCTTTTTGATGATGAAAAAGGCGCCGACGAGGCCAGGGTGGGGCGGTGTTTGATGAACAGAGGGCGCAAGGCTTTGCTGATCTTGTGAGCGGAAGCCATTGATGGAACTTCCTTTCAGCCATTGAGTGCCTATAAGTAAGCAGCAAGAAGCACTTCATGTAGCATTTTCTTAGCGTAACAGAATTGGTAAAATTTCCACTAACTATTAGGGGGATGAGGCCGATGATGAAGTTCTGAAGGAATACAATTGGCTTCTGATCAGATTTTTAATATGAATTTATTTATTTTTAAGTAAATTAAGATATCATAAATAATAATTAACTGTTTCAATATTATATATTTATCTCAAAACAAGATGAGGAGAATGTTTCCTCTGCAGCCAACCTTCTCCTTTGCAATCGGATCATAGAAATCAACACAACATGAACACAATCAACACATGGCCCTATCTACTCTTAGGATTCAATGGAGACAAAATAATTTGACCCCCTTTGAATTATATGCTAAATCATAGAGGAGAAAAGGTATAAAAAATTCATCTGAATTCATTGAAATGTAAAATTAAGGTTTTTGATCTTTTAGGTTTGAAGCAGCTATCTTTATAAAACCTCATTAAATAGCTGCAGGAGCTCAATATTTTTTTTTTTATGAAATAAAAACTCTAAACAATCTAGTTCTTTAATTATATCAATATAAAATTAAAGCGACATTTGTTACATTCTTTATAACAAGACTCATTAATGATCATTATATTAATATAATTAATGACATATATCAAGTATGAATGTGTAGAATTAAAGTTTCATATAATGTGATCTCAAAGTATTACTATTTTCAACTTATCTAGTATTATAACTCAAAAGAGTTATCAACAAAGATTAAATATTATACGCTAAATTGCAACTCGAATTAAATAATATTATTTCAGGTTTTTAATAACCAAAATAACAACACTTTAGTCTAATCAGAAAATAAATTCATAATAATTGAACAATACAAATATGCTCTTATTATGCAAGCACGTTATCAAAATAAATTACACATGTACATATGAGCCACACGCTCATGAAATACTTTAGGTGGCAATTCTTTTGTAAGTGGGTTTTCAAGCATAAAATTTCTTTTGTAAGTGGATTTGTACTAACATGTTCAATATAAATTTGAGATCTTTGACTCATTTCTTTCACAACAATAGACTTAATTTCAAATGCTTAAATTTGGACGAGCTATTGTTATTTTAAGAATATAGCTCAGCTGTTTTATTATCATAATTTATTTTAAATAGTCTCTCAAATACATCAACAATAAGTAGCAATGTGATAACATTTTACAATCATATTCAATGATTTGAAGTCTCATAATAAGCTATAAAATTTGCTTTAATTATATAAAAAATTATAAGTGATTATTTGAAATTATTCTATGATATAACTCCTCTAGCTAACATAAAAATATAACATGAATTTAATCTCCTACGATCGAGGCAACCAACAAAATCGAAGTCGGAACACCCCACGATCTCTAAATGATCAGATCTCTGATATGTGAGCTTGAAATATCTTGTTCTTTTTAGATACCTCATAATCCGTTTAACTGCTTTTTAATGATCCATTCACGGGTTACTTAAATATCTACCAAGATTCTAATAATATACACAATATTTGAATACATATAAGCTTGAGCATACATAAGACTCCTTACTACCGATGCATAAGGTATCTTATCCATCTCTTACTTTTTAATTTCATTTATTGGGCATTGAAACATACTAAATTTATTCCCTTTTGTAATATAATGGGTGTATCTCTTGGTGCACAATCTTTCATATTAAATTTATTTGTGATAGACCAAGTATACCACGGGAGCAATCCCAATGAATTTGTATACATAACAATACAAAAGATACATTTCCAAAATCTTTTATTTTAAATTTATTTGAAAAAAATATCTTAGTCTCATGCAACAAACTTATATAACTACTTGCTAGCAGAATATCATTAACATATAACCAAAGGAAAATAAACTTACTCCCACTGATCTTATGATAAATACATTGATGAACAATATTTTCTTTAAAACCAAATGAAATAATTACTTGATCTAACTTTTTATATAACTAACGGAATGCTTGCTTTAAATCATATATGTATTTCTTTAATCGACACACTAGATATTTTGAATTAGAAAATTAAAAATATTTTAGTTGTGTTGCGTTCAGGAGTATTCACGGCAGTAGAGAAATATAAATTTTAGCATCTTAGCATTGTATGAAAATCTGACATGCAATCAGATAAGAGAGAGGGTGTAGCATTTACTAGATGAACTTTTATTTGGTTCGGTGAACGTACGCTCCTCTACATTCGGCCACCAATATTTTAGCGACACGTAGCATGAAGAAAAGTCACCGACCGACCCGCTGTTTTTTGGGTTCTAGCACGTGCGTTTTTTTAAATCCTTGACGAGCCGAACAACATCCCATCACCTTTTCGATATATTTCAAATACCTAGCAAATACCGAGTTGTACCTAGTTTTTTCTAACAATACCGAGCAAATACCTAGCAATACCGAGCAAATCCCTAGCAATACAGAGCAAATCCTGAGCAAATATCGAGTTGTAGAAAAACTCGGTACAACTCGGTATTTGTATAATTTTGGTCTTCACAGAGCGGTATTTCTCATTTTTGCAAAGCAATACCGATAAAATCGCGAACATAGCATTCCCGGGTTCCGCTCCGGGTCAAGTCATCGGGCCGCGTGGTAAAGAGTAAGAGCACTTGTAGACATGTTATTGGCGGCCGAACGTACCTCTACGTCAGGTCAGAGGACGTAATAATTGTTCTTACTAGAGACACCAAAATTTTTATGTGGAAAACCCCTAAAATGGGGAAAACCCATGGGGCCTAACTCAGTTTGAATGAATCCAATAGTATTGTAGTTGATTATAAATGAGGCCCTTCCTTGGGGGATGACATTGACTTGATGTATATCATATGGAGTATATTACATGATAGGAGTACAAAGAATCACTGTTGATGTTTTCGTTTGGTCAGAAGGACCATAGTCTGGTGACAGAGGTTAGAAGAACCGTAGTCGGCGGGCGACGGAGGTCACAAAGATCGTTGTCTGGCGACGAAGGTTAGAAGGGCTATAGTCGATGGGCGACGTAAGTCAGGAGGACCGTAGTTGGCGGGCGACGAAGGTTAGAAGGATTGTAGTCGGTGGGCGACGTAAGTTAGGAGGACTATAGTCGGCTGACGACTGAGATCGAAAGGACTGTAGTCAGTGGGTGACGTAAGTCAAGAAGACCGTAGTCAGCGGGCGATGGAGGTCAGAAGGATTATAGTCGGTGGACGATTTAAGTCAGAATGACCGTAGTCTGCGGGCGACAGAGGTAGGAAGGACTGTAGTTAGTGGGCGACGTAAGTCAGGAGGATCATAGTCGGCGGACGACGGAGGTCGGAAGGACTGTAGTCGATGGGCGACGTAAGTCAGGAGAATTGTAATCGGCGGGAGACGAGGTCAGAAGGACCGTTATCTAACAACAGAGGTTAGAAGGAAGACATTAGATAGAAGTCTAGTAATTGATAGAAATTCAGTATCAGACAGATGTCTGATGAAAATCCGACAACGGGTAGAAGTCCGGTGTCAGGTAGAAATCTAGAGACATGCAGAGGTCCGTCGGGCAGAATTCCGACGTCACTTGGGCGTCAGACGGACTTCCGGCGTCACTTGGGTGTTAAACAGAATTTCGAAGCCATTTGAAGATTAGGTAGAATTCCGGCACTGGAAAGTCGGAAAGAATTCTGGTGTCACATGGAAGTCGGGCGGAATTCCGGCATAGTTCGGAAGTCGAGCAGAATTTCGGTGGCGGGGTCGAGGAGGAGTTTTTTTCCCTCCTAATCTTCTCTTATTCCTTCTCTTCTTGCTTAGCGCTCCCTCAAGAAAAATGAGAGGTCTATTTATAAATTTTTGGAGTGGCATGCTCTATAAATAGATTAGAGATAAGGAGTAAATGGGGAGTGGTTGGATGGACGGTCGATATTGAATCC